CTTTTTAATCATAATTTACAATAAATGCCTTTGAACTAATTTTTATAAAGTATGACAAGAGTCTTGAGCTTTTAGTTTAATAATATTCATCTCATTTAACCATCTTTGCAAAATGTTTATTGTTAAAGTTTTATCAATAAACATGATTAGTTCATTTTTAGAAGGGTGAATTATATGTTTATTTTTTCAGAAATTAGTAAAAATAATCAATAAAAACAAAGAAATATAATAAAATAATCTATTTACCTCTTTTTTTTGAATATTGTAATTGCATTCTCAACAAAATCCAGAAATTTGTTGTGAAAATTGTTAAATTTTCTAGTTGGTATATATAACTAATTAATTTTTTTCAATTGAATTAAGTTCAAATTAAAGATTTTCTATATTATATTTTTAAATGTGCCTTTATCAGGATTTTGAATCTAAAAAAATAAATATTTAATTCTTTTAAAAAATCCCAAGATTTTTTCTGAATTATATAAGTAATTTAACAATTAGTAATAAAAATTAATGACAAAATAAACCATTGTTATATTACTCTATTATCTTGTATTAGCATTTGTAATATACCAGTTGCCAATATCAATAAATTAAAATTTGGCTAAATAAAAATTAAATGTACTTGTAACTGATATTTGCATTAATAGATGCATATGATAAGTGAATAATAAAACATCTAGGTTTACATATAACTATAAACATATTTAATAAATATTTATTATATTACAAAATAATACTAGGAGTATAAGTTCTACATTATATAGTGTTTAAAAAGTTAATATATTTGAATGATTTATATTTGACGTATTCAAATAAAAATATCAGCATTATTATTACTAAACCTATTTATATAATTATTATTAGAATAATTTAAATAAGATATCTTATTAAAATAATTAAAGCAAGATATAGAAGTAAGTATATTATTAAAATAAATATAATAAAATGTAATATTAGATTCATTATGAATTTTATTAATATTAACATAAGATCCAGTTATTTTATCTAATATGTTGCAAAACTTATTATTAGATGCAAGAGGTTCATGTCTAGTATTTGCTATACATTTATTAAACTGACTTTTATCTTAGAAAATGAAAAATGAGAAATGTAAGAATAAAAATTAAATCTGAATAATACTAAATGTTAGAATATTAAACAAAAATTTATCCTCTAAAAGAAAGTTATTATCATCATTTGATTCTAAAAATTTTATTAATTAAAATATTAGTTTCTTCATATTTATTTAAATGCAATCAGGAAATATATCAAATAAGGAAATGAGTTCTAGAATGATCTACAGAAAATCCTTGAAATTTGATTAATTGTTACATAAATATTATCGATAATCATTTTTTTTTTTTTCAAATTTTCATTGTGGTTTAAATAGCATATAGATTGATAGTAAAAGACTTCTAGTTTTGATAATTAGGAATAATCATTCAGAATCAACTCTTCTTGAAAAAGTAAATGAAACTTCAAAATAAGAAATTTGCATGCATATTTTTAATTAAATGAAAAGTATATAGCATATTTTTTGTTAACTAATCTAGCATTTAAATAATTTTTTTTTTGTAGTGTCTGCTTACTAAAAGCCAAAAGCAAAAGACCTTTCATGTATATTTTGGGTTTAATTGATAGTTATAGTGAAATTGGATTAAAAGCCTGTAAAATGAAAGAATCACAAACCTAACAGAATACTAATACCCAGGAAATAGCTAAGCGGCTTACACAATATCATAATTATCTTTCTGAACCTACTAGTCTTCATTCTTCTTTAAAATTTTATTCAATTAGTATAAAACATTATAATCAAATCATTGTCACTAATTAATTTTACCGTCTTCTTATAGATTCTAATCAGAAAAATAAGCAGCTCTAATTAAATACTGATGAAGAAATTAGCATTGATTATTCTGACATTATAGCTGAGCTTAAAACAATTAAAAATCATCTAGAAGCTAGTCATCTGAAAATTCAACAGAATCACAATTAGTAATTAAACTTAACAATCAAATTTTACGATTATAGAAGCATTTAGAAGATCAAAGTAATAACATAGAAGAATTAAAATAAAGATTGCAGAGAGCTCATGATAATACAAATGAGATTCAAAATTTATATGAAGAACAATGCAAGAGAACAATAATCTTATTAAACAATAGAATTTACGATTTAATAACTAATAAAAATGCATTGATTCAATTATTGAGATAGCGAAGGCAGAACATGATACATTATCTAATGATATAGAATCATTAATTAGAGATAACAATAGATTTGCGATAGAAAGTCTCATGATATATACTCCTTATAAATGGCTCAATAAATGGAATCAGATCATTATCAAGTTTATCGAAATGCTAATTCAAAATAATCAAGATAGCAATGCCTTAAGTCAGGAAAAACTTTTTAAAACTGCTGTTATAGTTGACGTGATATATAGAGCACAGCATAGGAAATATGTATCAAAAATCCACCTTGCTGTTTTAGTATTAAGTGTTCTATTACACGATTGAAGAAGATTATCAGTATTGATAATTATATTACTAGTTCTGAAAGCTATTATTAATTACAAAAATAGCTAGAAGAATTGTCAGAACATGAAGAAAAACTGCCTGAAGACCTCTTATTTCTTGCATTTGACAATGAACAAAGAAGACAAAAAAATTATCTTGATTAAGAGTTTAATACAATGATTTTTCATATCATTATTAGTTTTGATACTTTTAATATGGGATCGCAAAATAAAATTCAAAGTATTAACTCACCTTGGCTACATTTTTCTTTAAACAGATTGCAATATGAAGAACTTTTTGATATCAACCCTCTAATGCAAGAAGCTATCAACAAAAAATTGCATACTTACCTTTTTAAAATTCTTAAATTGCTGCATGAAGAAAAATTAACTTCCATTAATACTATTGATTCTCTTATAGTGATAATAACCAACATTATCACTATGAAAGAGTGTTTTAATTGCAATCAAAAAAACATCAAGAATTGAAAGCAAACATGTTTGAAATACAAAGAACAATTACCAATATTAGCCAAAATCTAAAATGAAAAGGCAGTTGAAAATAGCTTAATTGATCAGCAAAGCAAGCTACTTATTTTTAAACCCTATAGTATTAGTGATGAATCGAGTAGCATTTCTGTTCTTAGGATAAGCTTTACTTAGCAATCAATTATTGAATAAGAAGTTAATACTCCTGAGGTCTATATTGCCAATCTGATCAATATAAACCTTAATTTAATTGTAAATGTTAAAAAGGTTCTTCTTCATATAGAAACAATATCTGGTATTAAAGATAGAAGTCGTAAGTGAGTTGCAGTAATCTTTAATAGTGTTTTATACTATTATGCTATCAAATTTAAAGAGAAATTCCCTTAGTTAGTTCTTATACCAGGGCAGTTATATGAGGAGATGAATATGCTTTGAGCATATGTTAAGTTAAACTGGTAAATTTGTTTTTTTATTAAAATAGCATAATTTTTTATTGATAAATTTTATTTTCTATATTAATAATTAGGAAAATAGACTTAAAGCAATTTATATTGTGTTAAGGTTATCAGACAAAAATTAACTTACATATTTTAAAAAGTGTATAAATCATCATAAGTCTTAGGATTTTGTCTGTAGCATATATCGTCAAGTAATAGCAATAGAGCTCATATAGCTATATGTAAAAAGCTATTCTAATCCTTCAGTTAAAGGATACCTTGCCTAGGTTAAAGAATAATAAGATCCACTCTATTAAATAAAATATGAATAAATATTTGTTTATCTTTAAACAATTATTAATTATCAGAAAGTCATAAGAACTAATAATCCATTCTTAAAGAGAGCTACTAGAAGATCATTTTTTCTAATTTGGTCTGTAAGACAAATCCAATTTATTGCTTAATAGAGGTCATTGATGAAGTTCAATTGATGTGATTTTATTGAGAAGTATGCGAGACCATAGAGAAAAATTGTGTCATGTCTAGATCAGGTATTTATAAATAACATCAATGATTAAATGTAATTATTGAGACAGTAAACAAGGTTTTGAAAGCTTTAATATCTCTTATCCCATAGTATCATTATTAAAAAGTTGCTACGCATAATTGCAAAAAGATTTTTGAGTTTAGAAATAATCTATTTAACTTAATTAGTTATAACGATCTTTAAATATTAGGACTAAGGACTCAACTGGAATCAATTATAGAATATCAAAGATTCTGAATTCATTTGAGAAGCTTTGAATTTATTAATTCAATAAATGCAAATCTGTTTATTAAAGTCTAGAAGAATATTATGAATTGAGTGAATAATTAAAAAACTTTATATATTTAGCAAAATAGGCTTGACAAAATTTTATTATTAAAGTATTTATTAACAAAAAACCATCTTCACTTTTTAAACTAATACTAATTACAAAACAGGAAGCAGATGCACAAAAAATGAAAAAAATATGTTTAAAGCTGAAATCTTATTAAAAATTAAAACTCTTTTTGAACAATTCTGTGAAGATACTTGAAAAAATATCTCAGATTGAAATCAAAAAAATGAGGTAAATTGTTAAATATATTATAAGATATAAAGCATACATTCAGTGCAAATAATACATTTAATGACTAATCATTTTTATTAATTTCTTTGACAGCAATACTGCAATTTCTCTAATGTTTATTTCTCAAGCATTTATTTTTGATATCAATTTCTCCAACCATTTAACTTCAATTTTATATTTTTAATATATGTACTATTTATTATAAATATATATACAAAATATATATTTAAATAATAGAATAGCTTCTTAATCTATTTTTTTTATTGCATTTATTGTAAATAAATTATTAGAATTTTGCAATTAATAATAAATTTTAATTTTTAAATTTTTAACCAATCATTTTTTGAGTAATCTAGAATATTCTGATTAGCAAATTTATTACTATAATAGAAAATAATCATTTGGATATATTTAGTATATTTTCTGACTAAAATGCTCATTATTCTATTGATTATATTTAATAGTAATTTTTAAAGCTAGTATCGCAGTTTTATGTATAGCAGAAACCTTTATATTTAGTGTTCCTAATGAGTTGAGTTGATTTGAGTTTTGAGTCAAAATTATCCTACATATCTTTAATTTAAAATACTTATTTATTATGTGTAACTAAAATTTACAATTATACATAATTATGTGAGTCAAATATGCAAGTTTATGCAAGTCATTTTTAGAACTTTATTTATAGTTAATTTATAAGATTCATTATTTTTAATAACTAGATTATTCTTTTTTCAATCTTGTTTTTTAACAGAAGTTTTTTTGGATCAAAATTATTTTCAATTTTTGATTTTCTTTTAAAACTTAAGAATCTGATATATATATTATTATAATATCAATTTGAGATGCAAATTTATTATTTGAAAAACTGCTAATTTTACCTTCATTAACAGGAATAACACTTTGATTTTTTTTTGATTTTGCTTTCTAAGAGTTATTACTATTTATTTTATTTATTTAAATAGTTAATAAAAAATAATGAGAAGAAAAAATAATAGCAATTATTTCTCTTTAAATAAAATAATACTGTTGTGGTAAAGTAAATTAGATTTTATTATTATATCAGTTAGTTTAAGTTTAAATTATTAATGAAAAACTAATTAGTATTATTATGTAAATTAGATTGTTATTAGTCCTATTATTATTATTATTATTTGTTATAGTGAGTTAAATTAGACTTTCATAAAAACTATAGTAATCATATTTGATAATATAGATTTTTAGATAATACATACTTTCATCTCAGCAATAGATTAATAACAATAAACATAATAGACTACTATAAATAGTTAATAATATATCAATATACATAAATAAAAAACTAAAAAAAACTTTGGATTTTAATTTTTAATTATAAATTCTTTATCTATTTAACATTTCATTTTCATTTTGAAAAAATGTTTTGAAATTAATATACTTCTAATAATAGTTAATATAATCAACAAAATTATATTAAGTAATGATATAATAAATTTAATATATTTTTAGTATTAAATATTAAAAAAAATAGTTATAATTACCTTTAATTATTTTTCTGTTAAATTTTTTGTTGAATAATTCTTTTTAATAAATTAAAAATTAATATTTGTCATATTATGATAACTTTTTCAAAAATATTTTTATTTTTTTTTAAAAAATACAAATGTAACTAAAAATTATTATATTATAGATGTTTATAATTAAGATGAAGAAATAATACCAGTTATTGATATAGAAAATGAGATTAAAGATAATATAGAACTTTATATAAAAATGAAGAAGCAAGCAAAAATAAGATAGAATTTTATATAAATATTATATTCATACTGTAAATATAATTTTTTATATTAATATATATTAATTTTAACTATTAGTTTATATTTCAAGAGTCATTTTTTATCATAAAATAGTGCAATCACTTATATATGCCTATTCTAATAGTTAGATGTCAGATAATATATATATATATATTGATATTCAAAAAATATTATTATTATTATTTGAATTTAACATAAAAAGTTTATTTGATTACTTACTGATCCTTATTTTATGTAATATAAGGTAATATAGCATATAATATATTGATATTTAAAATGGTAAAGTAAGAAAATTATATAAAGAAAGATTTATATAATACCAAAATGCTTAAGTAACTATATTGATTATTATATTTATATTTTAGATCATGTAAATTATTACATAAAAACAATTATATTAAAATTATTAAAGTTAGTTTTAAAATCTAAATATTTTTCATAATTTAAAAATGTACTTTTAACTTTTATTATATTTATTCTATAAAAATAAAACTTTAGTAACTTACATTTTTATGTATTTTTGAAACAATTTAAATCAAAAGTTTAGATTACAAATTATATATATTTCAGATTTGAAATTTCTTTATCTTATCACAGAAATTGATTAACTTTAGTAAAAATAGATAACACAATAAAACTAGATCATTCAGATTATCTTTTAGCAATAATAATTCAGTTATAAAAAATACTAATATACATTATGAGTGATTGATCATCATTTAATTAATTATTTACTAAGGAAACAATTTGTATCATTTTTATCTTTATCCTTTACATCATTCTTTTTATAAATAATATATAAAATATAAGTGAATACGAGTCATAATCAATAATAAAAAATAATTCAATTTCAGTTTATAAAAATAAAGGTCTAAGAAATAGAGTTAAAATAAAAGTAAAAAAAAAAAAATAAAAGAAACAGAACATTTCTTATTAGAAGATATAGAACATATTTTATCAAAAGTAAATAAATATATTTTATCAGAAAAGATTGAAGAAATAAGACACATTTTACTAGAAAAAACTAAGGAAATAAGATATATTTTACAAAATTTAAGTAATATTGAAAGAAACTTCTAAGTTCAAACTGAACTGAATAATACATTTTAGTTATTAATATTAACAATAATAGAAGTTTTATTTAAAATTATTTAGAAAAATTTTACTATCAGAAAAATATAAGAAATGTATTAAGTAACTTATTTTAGTTTTTAGTTATAATAGTATTACACTTGGTTTATTTACTTTATTTATTTATTCATAATACTTAATGATCTCAAGAATATCAAATAGTAAGAAATAAATTAATAAACTTACTGGAATTAGAGTGAACTATATTATTCCTTTCAGTTTATTAAATCTATTCTTAACTGTTGATTTCTCAAAAAATACAGATAAAAATTTATTTAATTAAGGATTATTTTTATTAAATGTATTATTTATTTTAATTTTTTAATTCCCTACAAATTTTCCAAAAAAATATTAATTTCACTTAATTCTAATCTGATTTTCACTTATGTCTTAAATTATATTTATATAAAAATATCATATAATATTAAGCTAACTATAATAATTGATATAGCTATAGTATAGTTGACTAATTCTATATTTTCTGTGTATATTTACTGTCTGTATTTCTATTATTTCCATTATTTCTACTTATATTTCTGTCTTTCATTCCTGTTTTTCAGTTTTCTGTTTTTCTTATATCCTAAATGTAATTAGTATTTGACTGATTACATTACTTTACTAATTATATTATTATTTATCTAACTTATTATATTATTTATCTATTCTAATCATATTTGTCTAACAAATATTTACTGTGCTAAATCATATGATTTACTATAATTTAATTAATATATTATCTTATGTAATTATTATTTTACTATTTAATAAATTATATTCTCAATAATTATAATCTAATAAATTACTATTTGATTAATTAGTTCTATAATAATAGTAAAAAAACTTGTGATCTTATAATAGGTACTAATAATAGTACTAGTTATTTATTAGTTATTTAATAAAGCATTATATCATATATAATGTTAATCTCTCACAAATTAATAAAATTTTGAAAATATCAAAAAAAGGTTAATAGAATAACTAATAATCCTATAAGAAAGAATCAAATAAAAATTTATTAAAGTTATTATAAAAGATAATTAATTATTAAGCATTTAGGATGATAAGAGATTCTAAAAACTTATTAAGATTTTGATCTATTTTATAAATTACTGAATAATAAAAAAAATAAAAGAATTGCTAGTTGATAATTATAACTATTTATAAATAAGAAATTGTTATTTATTTAAACAAGAAATTGCTTTTTGCTTCTTAACCTTAGATCTTTAGACTTTAAAAAATTGAGTAAGATATTTAAACATTACTTGTTCATTTGTAAATATATAATTTGAGCTTTGTGAAGTAATTCTAGTAATTAAATATCTAAAATATTCACATACTAATAATATTATTATCAAATGTCTTAATCAAATAACTCAAGAATGGAATTTAGATAAAAAAATATTTACAATAATTATTAATAATAGAAGTAATATAATTAAAGTTGATAACTACTTAAGAGTAGTAATAATATTATATGATTTTTTTATGCTATTTATACATTACAGTTAGTAGTAAAAAAAGGTCTTCTTCTAGCAAAATAATTAGTTGTAAGAGCAAAATGCTTAATTAATTTTTTTATTATTCTAAAATAAATGAAATGACTAATTAAAGCTCAAAGAAATATAAAACATGATCAACAAGAGTTAAATTCTAAAATTAATTAGAAATTAATTAATAAATTTAAAAATTAGCTGATTTAAATAAATTTTTATTACATTTTAGAAAATTAAGTGAAAATGATTAATATCTTTATCTTATTTATAATATATAAATGCATTAAATTTTATTTTATCTTACTTAGAAATGATTAGATAAAATACATAATTATATTGATATAATATCAATAACTATGTCTAAAAACTCAATAAAAGGATAAAATATGATTTAGTAAAATCAATATTACTAAAGATAAATAGGCTGTAATTAAATAAATAATTAATTAAAATATTAGAATCTTTATATTAGAAACTGAATTTGTAGAATAGTAAGTATGCAATAATAATTTTATGAATAATACAATTATAGAAATTAAGAATAGATTATTAGTATTAATGAAATAGAGTTTAAAGAAATTGACCTTAGTTCTACTACAACTTTTAATAATGATATTAATATTAAAGATCCTTTGATAATAATAATAAAATTAACAATCATTCAAAATGATAAAAAATATAATAAATATTTCACAAGATTGCAAAAATTTTAATTGAAAATGTTAAATTTAATAATACTGAGTGAAATTGAAATATTTCATCATATGATGAAATCAAAATAATTTAATTTAAATTTTTCATTATAAAATAAAACTAAAAATTATACACACACTTTATATTGAGATGTAACTATATAGAAAACTCTCTATATAGTTAACTTACTATTAAAATTATATGAATTATGACTGTACAGAAGTTTCTAATTTTATGAATACTATGTTACTAAATTACTAATTGGAAAATTACTTTAATATTATTTATTACTGTTCTTTTTATTTAATAGATTACAATATTTAATAACAGTTTCTATTTATTTATTTAAGTCTTTATAATAATAATACATAAATAAAATAAAATAATAAAATTACGAATATAATAAAATTATAATAAAAAGTATACTTGTTCTTGATCAGATATAGATTAACCTATAACTATTGAACCTAAATATCATGTAGAGATAGTAAGCTTCATTTAAAAAAAATATTTTTTTTTTTAGCAAAAATCAGAAAAAAAAATTATAAAAAAACTAAATATGAAATTTAAGAGGAAAATAAAAAAAAAAAAGAAATGATAATAGTTAAAAATAGTAATAAAAAATATTAATAATTAGAGTGAGCAGTTTTTAATATATGATAATTAAGATTGCTTGTCTAAATTTATTTTGGATTTGACAAAATGTTTAAATTATAATTTTGCTAATTTTCTACTAAGGTTTTGATATAGTTTCACATTTTTATAAGCTTTGATATAATTTTACCTTTTTCAGAATTTTATAAATTTTTTAATAAGATTTTAATATAATTTCGCTAAATTTTATCTTTTTCTATTTAAACGACTTGCAAAACCTCTAAGTTTTGTCTAACAACCTTAGTGATGATATTTTAGTATTAGATAGTAATAATAGTAGGGCAGATCTTTTTAGTGATGTAGATCTTCATAGAAAAAGAAATTGAAGAAGCGAAAAGTATTTAAATTTTCTAGAAAGTAAATATTAAAATTTAGTTTAAAATATTTGTATCTTAAAATAATAAAATTTATACTAATCTAATTCAGCTTATTTTCTACTTTTTATTTGAGAAACTAAAAAATAAAAAGTTAAAATGTAACTAAATTTTAATATAAATATCAAATAGATGTATTTTTAAATACTTATCAAATTTTTTTCAAAATGGATTACAAATTATTCAAATTCAAATAACTAAAAAAATTTATTATTTATAAATTTATTTTATATAATTACTAGATATTATAAGCTTTTTTAATTAAGATTTTACTTACTTTACAATCTTTAATTATTTCTTTAAACTTTGCTTGATACTACAAAGATGTAACTTTTATACTAAATTCTTCTTTTAATTTATTTGTAACTCCTTTTTAAAAAGGTAATTTAGATCTCTTAAATATATTTTAATATTCAGAATTTCTGCTTTTTCTTTTATTATCAAAAGTTAAACTTTATTGTCATTCTAATCGATTGTGTTTATTATTTAGTATCTTATATAAAAGAATAAAGGTGAATAAGTTTAACTTAAAGTTAAGGTAAGAAATTTATTTATATATATATTTATTTAGATATACTATTTTAACTTAAATTTAATTATTTATATTTTATTTTTAAGAATTCTCAATTTCTATTTTATCTCTTTCTTACTATTCTTAATTACTTACTAACTCAATCTAATTTGAATCTCTTAAATCTCCTGAATCACATCCTGCCTTACAACTATTATAATAAACCTCTCTTTACTATTTCTTTTTTTTTTTTCATTTTCATATATAATTTATTCTATCTATCATTACTTTTAAAGATAGTATTACAACTAGTTGCAACTATGTGATATTTATTTGTCACCAGTTATAATTAGTTGCAACTCAATTTTTATTAATATTATAATTAGTTGCAATACTATAATACTTATTTGTCACCAGTTACAACTAATTGCAATACTATTTTTAATCTCTCCTTTTGACTTTTCTTTTTCTTTACCTATTCTATTATCTTCATTTATCTCTTTTCATTTTAATTCAGTTTTTAATATAAAATTTTTTCTAAATAAAGCTTACCATCTCTACATAATATTCAGAATTAATAATTATAGAATAATCTATATTTGACTAAAAGCAAGCAATATATTTTAATTTATATTTATCCTAACCCTTAAAATTAATGTATTACAGATAAATTCATAAAATCTTACATCTGGATTGTATTCAGATCAGATGAAAAAATTAGGATGAATCTAAATAACTCTTTAAAAATAAGATTAGATTATTATTTAATATATTATTATATTTCATTATTTTAGATATAAAATTATATTTCAGATAGGATTTCAATTTTGAAAAAATTTAAACTTTTAAAAAAATCTAAAATATTTTAAATTTTGCAAATAATTTTGCCTAATATCACTAGTTAAATTAATTTTTTAATTAATAATAAACTATTATATAATTCTGAAATTAAACACTCTATGATATGCTACTTTTATAGTAATTTATATATTTATCACATAGAATTTATTATATTATTAGTCATGTATATACTAATAAATTCAAATATATCATGTGATGCTTATTTTTAAAATTATATAGTATTATTAGAAGGTATTTTAATATAAAGAAATAATCACTATCTTCTTAAATATCAAATGTAAAATATTTAGTTTTACAAGTAGATCATAAATAGATTATACAAAAACTTTTTTAAAAGTATTTATAATGAAAAGAAGTAAAAATTAAGCATTACTTATTAATAGCAATAGTTATGATTATGATCACTTATTAATTCTTTTCTTTGAAATATATTTATTAATTATCATCATTATAAAAGATAAAATGAAATTGAAGAATATCTAATAATTGAAGAAATTGACATAAATATTTATATTTTTAAATAATAAGCATTTCAAGAATTACATTTTCAATTTTGTCATAATTAGTCAAAAAATATCTAATAATCTTGGTAACATCAGCTGTTAGTAAAAAATTATATTCTAATATAGGCAATATTATAACAATTAGATATATCAATTAATTGCTATTTATTTTTGAATATTTAATATTTTACAAATAAAATTGAAGACTAATTAGTAGTATTTTTTCAGAATCTAAATAATTTAATTATATATATTAATACTTAGTATTTTAATATACCTTCTTAATATTTATACTTATAATTTTAGTTTATAATGAATTAAATTACAGAAAATAAATTGTTTTTGATATTTTTTTTATCACAAATAAAGTAAAATTGCATTTTAACCTCATAAAACTATTTTTATTTCAATTAATATTAAAAGAAATAAATATTAAAAAATTTAATATACAGTCAACT